GACAACTTGAAAATTCCACGCTCGTAGAAAGTCTGATCCTTTTCGGCCAAAAACTGAGTTAAGTGAGATTTTACAGCGTCATCATCGTTAAAAGTTTTACCACGAAGGGAGTTGTCCAGGGATCGAAATAAGTGGTAATCCGATGGCGCGAGATCAGGGCTATATGGTGGGTGTAACATCAATTCCCAACCAATATCCATCAATTTTTGCCGAGTGGACAAAGACGTGTGCGGCCTAGCATTGTCCTGCTGGAAAATGACACCTTTACGATTGACCAATTCTGGTCGCTTTTCCTTGACCGCTGCATCCAATTTGTCCAGTTGCTAACATTCACGGATAATAAAAAATAACATAATAATAATAATAATAATAATAATTTTTTAATATAACATTTACGGATATCATAAAAATGGGAGTGAGAGACATCTATAACTGAAATCGGCAATTACTTAGTTGCCAACCCAATATATAGAAAAATATTTCTAGGAAGTAGAAAACATTGCGACGTCTATATAAAATATTTTCGAATGTTATATTGACCAAAGAAAAATGTGTCATTTGCCGAGAGTTTATTTTCTGGTCAAGACACTATTTCACGTGAACATTAGGACGAAGATTTCCTGATTCTTTCCAGACAGTATTTTTTTATTAGATTATGCGACACAGTGGCACAGAAAGCGTCAAAAATTGAACTACGTTGTCAGGAATATTCCACAGTGCAGTATAAACTAATACATTATATTTTACTTTATTTTAGCTACATTCTACTTTATTCACTTCGCACACACATTCAATGTATCTTCTCCTTAAAAAATTCTTAAGACGATCAAAACTCTAGGTTACCCTAGAAATTGATTTCATCTTCAACTAACGCAATGCGAACACAGAACATTTTATTCGACAACGTAACATCCATAAAAAGCAGCTATGCTTCCTAAAGATCGATAAATATACGACGGTACTAATGACAATCTAAAAATTCGATCATGACACGGCTCTCCTAAATGACACCGCGAGAAATAACACTTTAACACGTCGAGCGTCGAAAAACAACCCCTAAAATTCCCAAACGTCGAAACAATTTAATCAATGAAACCGAAACTAGAAAGTTAAAATTGATCATAGCGGACGACATTAGAACGCTTCCGTATCCGAGACATCCTAATTAAATTGTGATTGTTCGAACATATTACAATGAAAATGAATTCTAGAAATTGGTCAAAAATTAGTGTCACCGGTATGTGGTCGACGCGGGGCTCAACGCGTTAAATAACATTGCACAGAAATGAACATTTTCGAACATGAAGCACCATTCCCAGCACTCACCGAGCATTTTCAGCACCCTCCTAGACGATTTTCCAGGGTTGCTCCTGCAGCTGCCACCCTCTCCACTGCCGTGGCTCCTCTTCATCATGTTCGATTTCCTCAGCTTCAGCCCGATCAGCACATAGAGCACGGTGATAAGGCTCATGGGCACGACGAAGAACAGGAACGTGGAAAGTTCGAACGAGTGCTGTACAATGACCTTCTTCATGGTGCAGCTGACGATGGTAGGGTCGTGATCGAGCTGCACGACGCCGAACTGCAGGGCCATGGGCAGGGCGAAGCAGAGAGCGACCAGCCAGATGACAAGGATCAGCTTGACCGCCCTGGAGAGCTTGGACATGGTCTGCGCGAAGAAAGGGTGACAAATTGCCACGTACCTCTCGACGGTGAACGCGGTGATGGTCAACACCGACGCGTTCGCGGACGTCTCGCCCGCCAGGCCCCGTAAAATGCAGAACACCTCGCCGAATATGTACGGATACTTGCACCAGACCATGTAGATCTCCGGCGGCAGGCCAGAGACCAGCAGCAACAGGTCCGACACCGCCAGACTGAACAGGTAGTAGTTGGTCGCCGTGTGCATCAACTTGTTGCGTGCGATCACGATGCACGTGCTGATGTTCCCGATGGTGCCGGTCACGAAGATGGTCACGTAGATCAGGATCACGGGCACCACGATGTAGAGCGGGTCCCTCCTGACCTGGCTGTTCAGCTGATTAGGGGCGCCCTTCGAGAAGTCGTCGTCCTGGGAGCCAGTGCCGTTGTACCACCAGCCATAGTCCTGCAGGTAGTCCTGGGCCCCGGGGTAGCCGCTGCTAGAGGACGTCGTCGCTGACTCGTCCATGCTGATCACTGATCGCTCCGATACCCCATCAGAAGACACCCTCCCGAGCAGAGTGCATCTTTTCGCAGGCCGAACAACCAACTGCTTCCAGCTAGCCTCCCCGACCGGTTACATCATTGGCGGCTGGTCCAGGCTGAATTGAAAGAATCCGGGAAGGACCGGCGAACATGCCCGGGCCATTTAAGGGTCGCACACGGAAACTGGTCTGTTTTCGTTCCGCGAGTGTTCTCGGCTCCTCGCTGGCTGGCCTGGTCCTCTTTTTCTTCACTTCACTAGCTCGGTCGCCGCAGGAGTCCCGGGCCTACCGATTACAAGGTTTTCGAGGGAGGAATGAAGAACTGCGAAACCGAGAATTACGAAAACGGCGAACCGACACCGGCGCCGCGCGATTCACGACTGTCGGCGCGCGACCGACGCGTACCAAGACGCCGGTCACCGGCGATTCTGCGCAAACTACCAACGCTGGCGGCGTCCTCCGGCGTCGTCGTCGTCGGAGTGATCCTTTTGGTCGGCGCGACTTCCCGGTCCACACTCAGTGGGGTGTTCGCCGGATTTAGCCGGCCATAAGTCGATTTTGTCGAACTCGTCGTTGGTTGAGATTAGTAGTTGTTACCGGGAAAAGACAGGTGGGCGGATAATAAATAGCAAATATATTTTCCTGCCGTTTTTTCCTTCCATGCGGACATTTGTTTTCGTGCCTTCTGTCGTGGTGTGCGCGCCTTTTGCGGCGTCTTTTGCGCTAGTCGAGCACGGAGACCGATACGTTTTTTTGTATGGGGAATATTTGAAGGAAACCAAACGATAGCGTTCGGAAGCAGATAGCTGTGTGAAATGCGATGGAAGTGATTTAAGGAAGGTAACTTTTCCATTCACTTGAAATCCTATATTTTTTCTGATGGAAGGAATTTGATCTGCTTTAGGGCGCGTTCCGGCAATTATGTTGTATTTATTATGAAGGGGAAGGTTTCTACTTTATAACAGTGTAGAAATTAGCCACGGAATATCCCGTGAATTTTCATTTCATAAATGAAATCATATTTTGTAATCGACGATTACGTTTCTTTAGTGCGAATGCAAAATTATACCCGATGCTAGAGCTTTAAATATGATCCGTAGAAACATCAGATGGTAATGACTCTCAGAAAGATATTCAACATTGTGGTGCGAAGGGAGAATTATAATTTTGATGAAAACTTGGAATTCGTCGAAAATTAGTTACTTATATGTAACGGGTGTAGAGAAGATTTTAGATGAAGGATTTAGAATACATTAGAATACGTTAGAATACATATTAGCCGATCAAGATTACTATGTACACTTTTACTACGTAGATATAACAGAATTATTTAAAATTTAATTTCTGAAAATTAATTTTTTACGTTGATCCGTTATGATTTTTTTATTTTTATTAAAATTCGCAACAGGTAAGTATGTTGGAAAAGTAATCGTCGTCATATAACTTTGTTTTGCTGTTTTAATTTCATTGAATAAAATACTGTAATCTTATGAAATTCTTTAGGTGTTTGGTGCGGTCGTTAAAGAGTTAATAGATACGTGAACGCCACGATCTACTGCAATTTGTTAAGGCGTGAATTCGGAGTTCGATGTTTTTCTTAAAATTAACGTTTATTTCTCTTGAAGAAGGGACCGCGGGTCTTTCCTTCGATCACTTTTTCTCATATTTTTCGCGGTTTTGTAAAAAATATTATATAACGCACCGACTTCTTTTTAGTTTTTTTGCAATTTATATTTAATTTTCTCCACATTGCACATTAAATCCGGTACTTTAATATTCTCGTCCTCGCTTAACACCTTTTCTCGTCTCATAATTCGATTTTGTAATTAAAAAGTACTTCAGCATTTATAAACTAACTATTAACAAATCATTTTTATATGCAATAGACTCGAATAAAACTGCACACCAATAAATTACTTTAAGTGCAGTCTCCACTTGAAATTTCAAAACATTGAACATCAAAGACCACGGTGCTCAGAGTTTTGTTTGTTTGCATTATCAAATGGCCTTGAGAAGAAGTCTCTCGCTTATAACGTAGTTTATTCATAACACATTACCGTCCGCATGACTAAAAATAGTCGTTTTCTTGACCGTTCGTGATATGCCGGATGACTAAAAATAGTCATTTTCTTAATTGCTCGTGATATGCCAAAAAACTGAAGATAGTTGAAACTTAATAAAAAAACTTAATAGTTGAAGCTTTAATTTTTCCTTGAAAATAAGACACCCCCTTTTTAAGAACCCCTACGCGCAAAAGTTTTTGCACAAACAGCCCATACTTTATTGTGTGCTGGTAACTTTAAGATTTTATTAAATATATTAGGTTGGCAAGAAAGTAACCTCGGTTTTGTAGTGTGAAGTAAAACTCATTTTTTTAGGCAAAGAATAAACATTAATGAATTATATATTTTCCATTTCGTTCAATGACCTTTTGCCATCATTCTTGCAGTTTCATAATTCCAAGCTCATAAAAATTTTGGTCCTTACTAAAAAAAAATTGAACCAAGTGCGATTTATGGTCATGGTCATTTGTGTCACATCATAATACATGCAAAGCCTCACATATCTTTAGTAACTAAAGATGTGGGTAATTATTGGAGCTTGATTGGGAGGTGATGTTGCGTCTCCCATACAGCCTTGATTTGGCACCATCCGATTACCATCTATTTCGAAATTTGCAAAACACTTTGAGTGGCAAAACTTTCACAAATGATGACAGCCTTAATAATAACCTCGGTTTTGCTGGCAAGAACTAAAATTTTTATGAGCGCAGGAATTCAGCGCGCAGTTAAATGAAATATAGCAAAAAGTCATTGAACAGAATGGAAAACATATGATCGATTAAACTTTATTCCTTGAATACAAAAAAATGAGCTTTAATTCACATTACAAAATTGAAATTACTTTCTTGCCAAACCAATACAGCGTGTCCCGAAAGTCACTCGAAATCGGGAAACGAGGAGTTCCTGAGGTCATTTCAAGTAACTTTTTCCTCAGCGATTTTTTCCTCCGCGACTTCGTTTACGAGTTATTAACAAAAAACAGTGACCAATGAGAGGCGAGATCAGCTGACGCGAGACAGCCGAGCCAATGAGCGGGACTGGACTTCGCGCGCTCGTTGGCTGGGCCACCCGCGCCGGCTGATCTCGTCTCTCATTGGTCAGCGTTTTTCGTTAATAACTCGTAAACAAAGCCTCGGATTGCATTTGCGCTAAGGAAAATGTTACTTCAAATGATGACCTCGACAACATATTGCAACGTCATTGAAATCGAGGTTGAATAATAATCGAGGTTGTTCTGAATATCTCCCTCGTCGATAACTGTTATGAGTGACTGAAACAAAATTTCTTTTCTTGGTAACTGTTACGGGCCACTGAAATTTGATTGCCATCATCAATGATGGTTATTGATAAGGTTACGTCAATCCGATCGCCCCTCATTGTTCAGTGTTTTCCGTTAATAACTCGTAAACAAAGCCGCGGATTGCGTTTGTGCTAAGGAAAAAGTTACTTGAAATGACCGTAGGAACCTCTTAGGTCCCAATTGCGAGTGACTTTTCGATCACCCTGTATAGGAAATTTCTTATGTGTACGGCGGTGCCTTATTGTTTCGTCCATCAGTGAACGTTAATGGTTTCGATCAATCGGAAATGATACAACGGTGTCCAGTTTCAAGGAAAAGGGAAGACAAACAGACTTGGAATAATAGCGAGATATAGGGACATGTAGGTGTTGGATGAAAAATGAGGAAAAGGGTGTAGAATGTGCGATAGATAAGGATGATAACAGCGTTACCTACATTTAATGAATGTTTGCGATGCAACGAGGGAAGATACGCGAGAGTGGACAAATATAGAACAGGTGATAAAGGCAGAGAGAAGAGAAGAGAAAATATTATAAAATAAATGCGAAACAGTTTACCTTTTCGGTTATTGTGCAAGAAAGAAATTTGTATTATATTTCAGTTAATAAGAGTAGAATAAGCAAGCGGAAGTAATTAAAGTTGATTGTGCTTAAGATTAAGCACAATATGCGACAATAAATATTCCTCCCCTGAAAGGGAAATATATTGTTCAGTAATATAAGCTATTTATAAATTCTTTAAATACTTCTATAATTTGCATTTGATCTGTTCATCATTGTCGCATTTGCATAAAATCCATAGCCTAGTAATTATACATACGTGTTAGAGATTGATGTCGACATTTTTTTGCTTTTGGATTATTCTAAGGATCTCTCCAATGAGCGAATAAGTAACATCTGCACGATTTGTAGTCAATTTGAAAGTGTATTATCGGATTTGAAAATCTGTCAGGACTCAGAAAACTTTTATGGAATATTTTTAGCAAAAGCACTGTGTTCAAGACAAAAACGTTTAATGCCAGTTGTTTTGCAGAGGATTATTGCATATCTTTTAACACAACGTGTAGCTAATAAAAAACATTTTCTAAACAACGCAATAAATAATAGTTGTTATTAATTTGCATTATAGTATTCATAGCATTACATATACATCTATACAAAAGTAAGTGGACAGATGATGAAAATGTATATCAATGACGTTTATTCAATATAGCAACATAATTACATGTTTCATCCTTCTTTAATATTTATCCCCATAGTACATAGATTATTTGAAGAACATTTAAAATAAATATTAA